TGTATACCGGCTACCTATACAAGGTGACATAACATTCCTCACGATATTTTAGGAGTCGTAGTATCACTTTAATATTATGATATTAAGGTAAATATATAATGAAAATAAAAATACGATGAGGATAAATAACAGTTATTAATTACGATTAGAACATTTTTTACGAGTAGGTATGAACATGTGAGCTGTCAAAGTCAAAGTCAAAGTCAAAGATTATTTATTCCATAGGTAAAATAAATTTACACTTGAAAACGTCACAGTTAAGCTACTGCTCGTTCACTACGCTGACCTCCCTGAGAAGAACGAGCAAGAAACTCTAGGGATTGCTCTTTTCAAATAAACTTAAATGCTATGGAATACACTTTGAATCAAATTTGTGTGGATTCTGGAGCCATGTCGTCTTTCCATACATCTTTATCTAACACGTAGTCTTCAACTTTGTAATTTGATTTTTCGATCAAAATATTTTTAATGTAGTTTTTAAACTTAGGAATTGATAAACTTAATATATGCTCCGGAATCTTATTGTAAAAACGTATACAGTTCCCCATAAAAGAGTTGTTTACCTTGGTTAAACGAAATCGTGGTACCATGAGTTTGGACTTAGCTCTAAGGTGTGGGAGAACAGTCGGAGAGCGGTTCTTTCTGAACTGGGAGATTGACGGTTTGACTTTTAAGACTTTACTTTCTAAGTTATGCATATTCGTAAATGTTTAGTAGCACTACCTCTCGTTAGCAGTGAAGATATACAACGTGATAATACCTGCATATAAAAGACGAAGAGACCCGTACCCAGCAGCCAGACGAATAATTTTTGATGATACCGAGTGACGAAATGAGCAAATCATACGCCTGGTGGAAACTCTCTCACTCACAGCTTAAAATCGCAAAGATCGGAGGAATACTGCCGCTACGCACGTCAAGTTCCATGTGCCTGTAATTTCACCAGCATATTTAACCTTCAAAACCGTAACGCAGTAACGCATACATTACTTATCGGCGGCAGAGATATATATAGTGGCAGTTCTTCCCTGCACGAACTCTTTCACAAAGGGGGCTATTGCTACTATTGTGTGACGATGCGATTCCCTCGCACCGTCATCCCACCTTTTTATCCCCTTTTCTCCGCTTCCTGGCCACTCGTTTTTAAATTTTCAATCGTTCTTTAATAATTCCTTTGCCTCGCCATTCTGATTTTGTTTCGTTCCATCCTCATACCCTGCCCGATCGCGGCAGCGAACACGTCTTCTCGTAAATTTTTTTAACTGTTTACCAGTTACCAAATATAATAAATAAATAAAACTGGATTTATTACCGCTATTTCTTTACCCTTTCGGAATTTTGAACTTTAAACTTTCTAGGCGAGATGTATGGAGATTGCGGAGTTTACTACTCTCCTGGCTACATTACAACCAAAAGGACTCACCAGATGCGCATTTTTACTGGCGCCCGAAGTAATTCAAAGGAAATCGAGGAAACTAAAAGAAGAATCAAGACAATGAAACATTTTATTTGTGCAAAATGTCATTACATAAGCCATTTACACTACAAATCACCTACACACCCCGTATCTCAGACAAAAGACGACTACCGTTGCATTCAGCTGGTTACAAACGTAACTGTTCCAAAGTTGGTGTACATCGTAATTACGTGACCGTAAACGTGTACGTGAAAAAAACCGACCTGAAGAGTTAACTTATTGGCTTTTTTGCCCTCATCAGACTCTTGACTTCTTAGTGACAAATGGAACTGTTACGGACTCCTTTGTACATTTTATGCTTTTTTCTGTTTGTCATGGCGACGGTGATTTGTTGATTACATATTGTGTCAAGTGAAAAGTCGACTTTTATTTGTGGAAATATAATTAGTCATTTGTGGTAGACCGAAACGAACCCGGAACAGCATCGTTGGCATCAGGAACCACCACGAGAGTATGTCCTTTCAAACCCTGAAACCCTGTGTCGCGGGTGCCATGGACACACACATAGACAACCACAAATTACACCCATATTCACCAGAGAAATAATGTAGGCCATACAAATATTTCTCCCGGCCCGGGAATCGAAACTGAGACCTCTGCGTGGCAGTCCGACAAGGTAACCGTTCGGCCACGAAGGCAGTTATATTACCATTAATTAATAGGTTTCAAAAAAAGCAATAAAACTGACATGTTAATTCATAGTCTATGATTAAAATTCATACTTTAAGAATGAATACTTTGAATCAATTAATTATACATTTATACATTAAATTATTGAAAACTTTTTATCGATATACCTCATCTCTAGCAATGAAGTAGCCTTTGCACGTTGTCATAAAAAAATATGAATTTTTGAAAACCACGTTTTTCCACTAATTTCTCATAAATAAACATTGATTTGGTGTTATTTTTCTTTAATTTAAGGTATTTTCTTAAACAAAGGCAAATTCCGGTGAAAGCAAAGTTTTTAAAAATAATTTATGAAATACGTAAATTAGTGCACGTCGTTACAAGGTTATATTGTGTAGATTTCTATGAACTGTCTCAGGGATGATCCTAGATAATTTTTAACATATGGTATTTTACTGTGGTCTTTATCGAAGACATCGCACTCAGCCCGTCGATGTAGGATCACCATTCGCACCGCCTGCCGCTGAACCGAGCCTCTGACGCACAGCGTGCGTGTTTAACTGTGGTTTGTCCACTAGCGAACGCTATTTGTCAACCTCGTGTAGACAAATATAACATGCAAATATGCGTTCACACTCGATACGACTTTGTAATTACCAGAGATGTTAATAAGCAGAGTATGTTTAGCTTAACGGAAGTAGAGTATGTCGATAATATGTTTAAGGTTTGCATCCGCCCATTTTCAGAAACCATTTTTAGTAGCAGTAGAGCTCCTTGTCAAAGAGTTCGTCCAGGGAAGTACTGCCACCTATTTCTGCTGTCAAGTAGTAATGTCTCTTCCGGTGAAATTACAGGCACGTAGGACTTGTCAACAGTGCCCCGTTACGATTTAAAACTCTTAGTGACACTGCAGTTGTTATGAATAGGCGTGTCTCTTTCCGCCAGGTGCACGATTTATTCATTCCGTCACTTGGTATTATAAAAAAGCAATTCATCACAAATAAAACCTTAAAAATAAATACGAACTTCTTCACGAATAACTTCAGACTTGTACAGTGTCCAATACAGATACGCATTATCGAGAAACTCAAAGAACTAGTGAATTCCGGAATATTAAATTATGTGTTGCATTTTTATTTGTAACTAAGAAGAAAAGTTTTGTAATTGTAAGTAAAAACATAGCTAACTCTCAGTCACCCGTAACCAAGCGACCGTTTGGAACAATATCTGTCAAATAAGTAATACATAATCAGAAGAGCATGTCAAGTATGTAACATCATGCGCATCATACGTCTTTTAATTTAGTCGAGTATTAAATATTTGACATTCGGACGGATGACGAACGGAGAATAGTAGTGGACCCCCGATAAGGGCCCCGAAACGTCGCGTTAGTATATTTGAGAAAACAAGTACTAACACTCGTAAAAACCTAAAATCTCGATAAAAACATTACCTATACTTTTTATTCCGGAATTTTAGACTGAGGTTATGAAGTTTAGGTAAATATACAGTATCTATTTCGAGCTCCGGTAATTGCATAGACGGGAGATATAATTTATAGGTACGGTTATTATTCACAAACTTGTAATTACGTTAGTAACGTGAGAAAAGCTTCATTTAAATACTGCTATTTGTTTTCATTAACACGGTTACGATATAACAACATCTAGAAATTATTGACATAAATCAAAATAAATCTAAAGCTTTAAAATGAACCAAGTTCTATAATATCGCAAATCAATCAATTGAACGCTGTCTTTGCTGGCTCAGCGACCCGAAGTGGATCTTGGCCTCCGACACCAAAGTACGCCACTTCTGTCGGTCTTGTGCCAATTCCAACCATTCGAACACATTAATTTCCTTTTGGTCTTTGGCGAAATCATTCTTCCTGCGATATCTTGGACGGCCCACTGGACGGTGACTCGTAGATTGCTCCGAAAACGTTTTTTTTTATCGATTCTCTCCCATTCTTTCTACATGTCCTAGTCAGCCAAGTCAAGCAGATTTTATTTCCCCGATTATGTTCGGCTCAGACACTAGTTCTTCTATATCTCTATTGGATCTGGCTCTCTAATTCCCAAATTCTCCTTTGATTGTCAATCAATTGAACTACAAACAGCTATAAAATCGACATCAATCTTAACACCAGACACGATCTAAATTAAATTAGACTTTATTTTCAGACGTATTTAAGTATTTCGCAAGTTGTCCGATGCACTTTCGAGATACAACGCACAAAAGCGCGCGCTGTGCAGACATCGAACTTCATATCGATTACACGAATCGATTTTTGCGAATTCGCCAGTCACGAGTCGCGAATCGATCGACTGTTGTCGAAGCTTATAATTGAATGACATCTGTCATTACCTTGCGATATCGGAGATAAATTGTAATCCTCTTTACTCCAAGCTCATCTGAACTTCGTTTTTTTTAGAATTAGAAAAACTGTAAACAAAGACGCAATGATCGTAAACCTTTTTCTTGAAACAAGAAATTTTGGTAAAGATAAACGTAATTATAAAACATAAGAAAACATTTATCGGAAAAAAAGTGAGTGACAATGGTAGTGCTACAAATGATTGACAGCGAAAGTGAGTACACAGGATATTATGTCCGTTCTTAAAGCTGTCATCTGCAGCTGGCCAGTCAACTCGTGACTGTGGAGCGTGAAACCGTTTCGAAATATCGGGAAAATAAAAATAACTTATTTGACGGCCTCCGTGGTCGAGTGGGTTGCACACCGGTTTTCACGGTGTCGCCACCTCTGATGTCCCGGGTTCGACCCCGGCCGGTCGATGTTTCCGATTTCCATAACTCAAGCGCTTTAGTTACTTTGGGATCAGAGCAACGTATGTATATTGTCTAATATTTGTTTATTTATTATAACTCATACCGGGGTAAAAAACCTGTAACTATTGGGCCTTTTCAAGAAAAGTGTGACTAGGGTGTGCATGCTTCATAATTGTCCAAATCGTCACTTTCCATCTGGTGAAAAAAAGATTTTTGTTATTATATCAAGTGACGGGACGATCAAGTCATGCGCCTGATGGTAAACTACACGCCAGTCCATAACAGTTGCAGTGCCACTCAAAGCTTAAAATCGCAAAAATCTGAGGGGCACTGCCATTGCGCACGTCGCCCTGAGACTAAGTTGACAAGTCCCATGTGCCTGTAATTTCACCAGTACCCTTCCCTTTCAAAACCGGAATACAGTAAATGCTAATATTACTGCTTGGCGGCAGAAATAGGCAGGTGGAAGTACTACCCTGGACGAACTCTTTCACAAGGAGCTCTACTGCTACTAAAAATATAAACGCGCATATAAATATAAATGCGATAAAATGCTGCCAAGTTCCTCACTACGCTATCACTGAAACTCATTTCAATGTCTACATTAATAGTAAAGGAAAATCTTAACTACACCATAAGGCCTCAATAGAGCTAAAAACCCGACTCTATTTAAAATACTTATAAAACTATGCAACAAACAAGTTGTGCTCACTTGTCTACCTTAAACATCTGTCAAGGATGCGCAAAGCAGTTTACATTTATTCAAAATAGAACAATCTTTAGGTGCGCGACATGACTCGATACGGTTCTCCAAACTACCACGATCGCAATACAGTTGATTAATAACAATTCAAGAGGTATTATCAATGGTCGGAATAGGTTGTCCCAAATGAATAAGTAAATGTGTACATATAGATAAAAAGAGTGACTGAGAGAGATGTATTGGTTAAGCCTATAGAATAGCAATTAATCTCATAATGACATTTGTAGATAACTATATATGTAATAATAAACAATATCCGCATTAGTTAAAACAAACTTTTGCTTTTAGCCATAAAAAATGTTTACTTTGGTGAAAAGTTAATTATGACAATCTTATAAACCGACCACTTATGAAGAAACAGAAGCGCTGTTAAACTGCATTACGTAATGCACACTCAATCAAAAACACACACATACACTCCTCTGACACAAGTATATTTTACTTACTACAGGGCTCCAACCCTTTGTATGTTGAAAATGAATAAAGTTTTTATAATTATTACTTTTTTTACATGGCACCACTAGAACAGTTTCAAAATCCAATTTCAGCCACCCAGGTGAGTAGATTTATCTTTATATGCAGTGAAAACTATTACCGTAAATCCGTAATTGGAAATAAGTAATTCATTAATAGTCCATGTTTTAACAAGTCACTGTCGATCCTTCTATCTATGTATATGTAGACATTTATCTACTCATTTCGGACACCCTATTCCGACCTTTGGTTATTATCTAAGTCTATTCGTTTTGTTCACCTGTAAATATATTGTTTAAATTTAATAGCCAATGTGCAAATATGCCCACAGTGATGCAAACCGACTGAGTTGCTTTGTATTGTGTACGTAAACAAAATGTATGGTATGTGTGAAGTCACGATCTTCTTTAGGCCTGTCATAAACTACATTCCTTTTCAATTTTTATTGAATGTCAGAATGTTTCATCACCATAATAATTTTTAATTATTTTCTATCAATGTTCGTTCCGTGGCTTGGTCGGCACAGCGTCTGACACGGTTTGCTAGGAGGCGTCTGTTCGAATCCGGCCGGATCGAAGGAATACATTCCTTTTGTTTTATTGAAGTAATTAGAACTTCTATTAAAAATAACCTTCAATTGCCAGATATTGAACTGGAAGAAAAAAAAAAAGAGATTTCTTCCGAAAACGGAGTTACGTGATTTTCAAATTTAGCCAATAAAATATAACTATACAACCATTGACTTACAATTGTATGGACGTCGGGTCCGCGCTAAAAAGTGTCCGAACTTATAGGGCGTTAAAATCGTATACAGAGCGTCATTCACGCTTTAGTCTTCGTTTGTTTCTTCTGACAGCGAAGCAAGCAAAATTAGACAGTACTGCGATGACATTACAATTTAAATTCAACGTTTTAGCTTTTTCATATTCCTTTACATGTCACTACGTTTAAATAGGTTGACTACGGACACTTTTTTCGTGGTTTTTGGTTTAGACTTGTCGTCCATTTATTTGTAAGTCAATGTATACAACTTATAAATTAAAATCATAGGTTACATGCCACCTAGAGCTTTGAACCATCGACTTACCATTCCACCTCTAAGCCACCTCCTTTGAATCTGATAATTATAAGGGGCAACATTACATTGTCTAGTGATATCGATTAGAAAAGAAGGATCAAAGGTGAAATGAATGATAAACGGAAGACAACTCTCAGTGAATGGCGGAAAGAAACATATTAATTCAAGGCTAATTTTTTTTAACATACCGAATGCGACTGACAATAATAGGCAATCGATCGCAGTAACTAAAGTAATAATTAAACATATTTGGACGTTCTTACTTATATGATACTACAGAACGGGACGAACAAGTCGTGCCCCCCGGTGGTCTGAAGGACACTGCCACTGCGCCCGTCGTCCTGCGACATAAGTTGACAAGTCTATGAGCCTGTCATTTCACCAGCATCCTTACCCTGTAAAACCGGAACGCAGTAATGCTCACATTGCTGCTTAGCATCAGAAATAGGTAAGGTGGCAGTACTTCCCTGGACGAACTCTTCCACAAGGAGCTCTACTACTGCTAATGAATTAAAGGGTGTGGTGTAGACAATCGATTTAAATCCGTAAAAATTGTTTTATTTCCTATTTAGACAATCTATTTCAATAACTTGTACTAGAAAAAATCTTGAAGAAACAAAGTGCCAGACATCAAATGAATCTTTTTACGAAACATAAAACTCTAAAAAAACATGTTTGCCATTTGTAAATGACATTTGTCATCAATTCCAAACCTTAGACTATTTTTTCCATCCTCTGAGATTCCAGCTATGTTATAATTTATGATCTGAAGAAAAAGCTTTACGGTCACGGCTTGGTTTGTTAACATTTTGATTTTGACAATTCTAAAAAGGGATTGTTGTAATTATTAACACAAAGAATTTAAATACAGTGAATAGCGACATCTCTAGCTGGGGCTGGTAGCTGTAAAGGTGACGAAATACTTTCATAGATTTGTCATAGATGGCGCTACGGCTAAAAAGTCGTTGAAAAACCAAATACAAAGATACGACAACAGGCACATAGAAAAATTCATGAGGTCCGCTAGTTCGCTCCGTGGCTTAGTTGGCATAGAGTTTGGCACGGTTTGCTAGAAGACGTCGGTTGGAATCCGGACGGATCGAAAGATTTTTTTCCTGAATGTTCGATCTATGTATTAATAATTATAACAAACTAGTGGAGTAATTTCACAAAAAAATAATTGAATGTCAATTTAATAAAAATCTAAAAAATGGAATTATAGATTCGAGTTCTTAGATTTTCGTAATTGTTACACATAGCATATGAAATTGTCTTTTGGGTAATAAATCGCTTATAATTTATACACAACGTTTTTTTTCTTTTCTTCTGTATTAAGCATACTTAGTATATTTCCTTTATTTAGTACACTGTAAATACACATTATTTAGTTTATTTATTACTTTGTTAATGAAATAAAGCAACATAATCAGTAAATATAAGTTCGTATCATTACATTTGGAATGAAACCTATACACATACCTATTAGGTCCATATGTTTCTTTTAGAGCATAGTAGGTAGGTGGTAGATACTTAAACCAGACATAAAAATATCATATTATGATCTAAATCGATGGCAGCCCAGTGGGAGTATAGTTGCTTCTAAATAGAGTAGTCGACGATTCGAATATGACTTTAATTACTAGTTACGGCATTTTGTGAATACTTAGTAGTAATTCCTCTCACTAACAGTGAACGTACGTCCTGATGAAATCCACGTATTGAAGAACTCTTAGAAAACGTGCCCATTGTGCCCAAAAATGTATGTCAAGTTTTAACTCAATATTTTATTGACACTCTTCTTCCATTAATTGGAAAAAGCAACCATTTTTTTTAATCCAAGGGACGAACAAATCGTGGGCCTGGTGGTAAGCGACACGCCAGTCCATAACAGTTGCAGTGTCACAAGAGCTTTAAAACGCAAAGACCTGAGGGACACTGCTACGGAGCCCATCACCCTGATACATAGTTGACAAGTCCTATATGCCTGTAATTTCACCAGTACCCATCAAAACTTGAAAGCTGTAATGCTTACTGCTTGGCGGCAGAATAAAGCAAGGTACTTAGTACTTCCCTGGACGTGGACAAACTCTTTCACAAGGGACTCTGCTGCTACGATATGTATGTATGTATGTCTACCAACAAATGAGCCTACTTATTGTATTCAGTTCTCATGTTATCTTTAACATATAGTATAATAAGATGAGTAAGTTAACTCCATACAAACTTAGCAGCGTGGCATTTATGTGTGCGCGCCCGCCGCGCCCGAGTACGAGGCACACATTCGCATAATCTTACGGTGCAGTCGATTTGCATAGCGCGTATACCCATACAAGCGTTCCCTCGGTATTTAAAAAATGGCGTCAAATAGTAGACATGTTTATTGTTGTGTTTATGGTTGTTTGAACGAGAGTGCCTCAAATTCAGAATTGTGTTTCAAAATCATACTCTTGTAATCGAGATACCAATCCGCGACGCGGTTATAGAATATTAATATGTAAATACTGCATTTGACAAAGGTTGAAACTGAAATTGAAAAACAAACAAAATCGGCCATTCTGGTTTATGAGAGACTGGTGACCAGGATAGATTGAGAGAAAACCTGTATTACAGATCATCAGGCTTCCACTCTGCTGATGACCAAATGTTCTGGCATAGTGGTTGTGATACAATGGAAAATTATGTCAAATACGTTAATAATTCAGCTGTACCCAGTCCGGTCGTGTATGGAGTACTGCTTCCACCTATGGCGTGGCTCTGCTACATACCAAATGGCCACTTTGGATTCAATCGACAAGCGTGCCAAGAGGCTTATAGGTAATTCGGAATTATTAGAGACTGAGCTACTGAA